CCCCCCCCCCCCCCCCCCCCCCGTCGCCAAAAAATTTTCGGTCAGTGTACCATTTTAGGGGTAAAAAAAATTTTTCGGACGCAAAATTTTGCCGAACGAGTACGTTGCAAACGCTTTTGAGGGACTTTATCTCATTTTTTTAGGCTAAAATTCGATACTTAGCCCAAGAAAACAGATATCTTGTCCTTTGCGCGGAAATATTTAACACACAAAAAAGGCGGGGCCCCTACAAAAATTTTTCAGGGGCCCCCAGCAACTCGGGGCCCGGGGCAAATTGCCCCCTTTGCCCCCCCCTCTGGGCGGCACTGGCTGCCAAACAACGATCCATAAGAACTGTACAGAAATATTAAAAGAAGTACTAACCAAGCTGACATTCGAATTTTCACTGGAATGTGGCGAATTAATCTTTTGCCGATGCGTCTGGCACAAACTCTAAAAACATTATAATTATCAAACATCTCTACTGTCAACTACTGTATAAATTTAATAAATTGTTTTCAAATATTCATCGTTGTACGCCAATCTGGACATTTCCTTACTTCCGGTTTCCATGACGTCATTGTTCCCGCCGCTCCTGCATACTAATTACTTCCGCCGCTCTATTCTCTTCTGCATACTAATTACTTCCGGCGCTATACAGACGGGGTAATACTACTATAGTGCATGCATAATTATTTACAATTTTCATATATATTTAAAAAATCTTAACATATTAAGAGTATTTAAATGTAAAAAAAGGATTGAGCTTTAAAGTGCCTATGTCATAGTTTGGGAATTAGTCTATTTAGATAGTTTAGATGATTTTAAGAACTTTTGCAATATATTTTATAATTCGAAAATTTGATCTTCGTGGACTTTCAGGGGCTCAAAGTTGGCGATTTTTTGCTTAACCGTGAGTGTAAAAGGACTAGGGCGAGAGTGCCTTAAACGCCGGATGTGACGTCAAACCGGGAACTGATCAAAACAAAATACATATGATTTGCTATAGTTTCTTGATAAAATCATGATAAAATCGAGTATAAATTAGATGTTTCTGGAAATTTCCTCGATATTTCGATTGAAATTTAATTGGGCTATATCCTTAACCTTCGGTTATCCAACTGACAGGCAAATTGGGCGAGATACTAATTTTATGGCTGAGTGTGCAGGTCAAACACGTATACGCTGATGCTAATCTATCTTGATTTTATATACAGAAATGTCGGGACAAAACGGCAAGGAACTGTAGGCTGTTGTTAAACCCAATCCAGGAGAATCTATTCTCTTTGTCAATACATGCCAGATTGCAAATTATTGTGGGCAAAACACCTCGTCCAGGACCAATAGAAGTGGCTGAAACCGCCGGTTTGCTTTGAATTTGGGCGTCATAGCCGCGTCAGGATGTACCGTAAATAATTTTGTGAAAAAGTAGGTAATACGAATTTTATATGATTTAAAAAGAGAAATTCTGAAGGCAAAGTGAACTTGTTTTATTATATCGACATGTATTCATGAATTACTGTAAATTTAAAGTTGATATTTGAATAAATTCGTGAATTATTATTAAGCTAGTCTTGCAAAATCGCCTAAATGTAAGATGTATTATATATTGTGTTCTAATTGACCATTTGCGTAATAGACTAAATTTTGATCTAGACAAAAATTTCATCACAGCTTGAAAGAGCATCACAAAATTAGTAATATTCCAAAATTTGGTTGCGAAATGTTGTAAAATGCGGATAATATAGCCTTGCGAAGTTTGCAATTTTCAGTCATTTTAGATTACAAACGGGAAATTTGTCGCCCGAACGCTTTGAGCTGTCAATTTCCCGTTTGTAATCTAAAATGACTGAAAATTGCAAATTTCACAAGGCTATATTATGCGCATTTTACAACATTTCACAACGAAACTTTGGAATATTACTAATTTTGTGATGCTCTTTCAAGCTGTGATGAAATTTTTGTCTAGACTTGTTTAGATCAAAATTTTGTCTATTGCGCAAATGGTCAATTGTGTTCATGAAATAATACAACTAGGCTACATTTTTTAAAATATGACACATCTTTATATTTCTGATTCATGAATAATAAAAATCACTTTCTTAATTATAGTAAACTATAATCATTTTGAAAATTATAATATTCTATTGAGTATTGTATTTTTTCGACATTTGACCTTGTCTGCTAAGCAAAATGCCTAATGTAAACAAAGCAAGCGAAGGGGCCTATTGTATTTCATGATTCGCCCATTTCTAGGCTATGACTTGTCTTTACCATATTATTTATCCTAAAGACCTAACGGATTTGATTTCTAAGTCATAAACATCTATTCTTTATAAAGTTATAGTAAATTTTTCATTAAATGTGAAAACATTTTGAAACACTTGTTCTTTGTATTATTCAA